TATTATTTAAATAAAAACTTTTATTTTGGATGTTTAATTGCAATTATTGTTTCGACAGCACTACTGAAGATGTGTTATTATCTCGATGAAGATGATAATGATAATAGATGAGAAACATTAGGATTTATTGTTTGTGATATGTTTTTCATTAATGATTTTGTTTTGTACTTGATATTCCAGCTTAAAGGCTTGAGATCAGGTTAAATGAGGTACTTCTATTAAAAAAAAAAAAAGAAAAACCGTAAAGGAATAATGCACCCCAGAATTAAAAATAACCCATAATTTTAGTATATGACGTCTGTAAAACAAACACTGGGTAGTTTTAGATTTGATTATGACTCTTCATTCCTGTATGATGCTTGATAGTGACTTTTATTTTGAAGCTTGCAAAATCACATATATCCGCCACTGGTTTGACGTTACTGTATAACATTATACCGTATTTTACTCTCAGAATGGTGCAAACGTGTCTAAATGTCAGTGATTAGAGTTTATCTTTTAGAAATGAAGTATATTTCTGTTATATCTGCCTCACAAGAGTTCATATCATCATTCACCGTTTTGGAAACTTCAAAATAAAAGTCACCATCCAACACCATTATACAACATAAACAAACATGAAAACTACTCGAGCTGTGTTGATCTGACAGGAGACAGTCATCTGTTATATGCACAAACATCATAGTGAGTGAATGATGGGGTGTGTTAAATGATCTTGCTGGAATATTCCTTTAATATGTATATTATTACATCTAATTTATCAAGCGCGTGTGGTTTTCATTTGGTTGTCTTCATGCTAAATATGGCAGTGTAAATATGTATTGGGTGTGAATAAAATGTACATTACGACCACATCCTTTTACTTGCTGATCTTATTTGTTGTGCATTAGTAAAAGTTGACGTTGGTTAGGTGCATTGGAGACCTGCACACATTTAACACATGCGCTTACACAACAAACAGATCTCAGAGCAGGCCAGTGCCCTCACAATGCATCTGTGATTGAGTGTACAGCATCACAGAGGAATGATCACTGCACTTTAATGCATTCATACAAACATGTCCAGTGAGAAAGCATCATTATTGTTGACATGGAGTGTTTAACAGTTCCAGCTGCTCATGATCCTCTCTTAAATAATACAGTTCAACTTTACAGTATGGACAGTGTTTTCTGCTAATGATATGCTGCTGCATGCTAACGTTGACTTTCACTACTGTAGGGGAAAATTTCATTAAACACATATTAAAGCATTAGTCGTGCACCTAATTGTGCATTGCATGATCTTGTAAGACAATGTTTAATACTGTAATCTGAAAATATCACAAAGCGTTTTAATGTCGCTTGTAATTAAGTATAAAAATACAGTATTAATTTAATTAATCATACAGGGAGACTTCAAATTGTTCCCAAAACATAACTTTTGTCTTCACTTACCTATTGTCTAGTGTGCAAATAAATAAATCAATACATTTCAGAGCTTTTGCATGCACTCATGTCAGTGCTCTGACAAACACTTTCTTCAAATGAATGATTTAAAGGTGCAGTGTGTAAGTGTGACACCCAGTGGTTCAACTAGGTATTGCACTCCTGCATCAAAACAAATGCAAGCGCAGGTTGCCAGATTGAGGACCAACAAAAGGATCAAGCCTAAAGGCTGATTTAATTTGTGTTCTATATAAAAGCAACGGCACACGATAGAAGGAATATTCTCCTTATTAAAATGTGTTTATGTCCTCACCAACACCTTGAATTCATATATTAGAAATGGCTTCTATTACTCACAGCTGAACGACAGAAAACTGACAATGATCAGCTCAGGGACAGCTCATGTGCTTTATTCAGTGTTCAATGCTGATGATGTGAGTCTGACATGACATTTTACATCACCCTACTACTAAAAGAAGCAGATAGTTCAGCTCAGATCTGCACAATTAAATAAACTGTCTAAGTAGTCTGTAAGTTCATGGTTTCTGCTACATTTATTCCTCTGTGGCGGGGCGCCACACCAAAATGCATCCAGTCACATTACAGCTTCTTAATCAAAATATTTGATCGTTTTTAAATAGCGGGTTAAAATTGCACCGAATACGTATTAAAAGGTAAGTGAATAATAACAGCGCAAACATTTCTGTGACTGTAGTAGTGCTGTGCGTGCTGTTTAACCCTTTAAGGTGACGTGCAGACAGACTGACAGATGTGTGATGCGTGAGGCCAGCAAACACGGCGTAGCTTTCAGTTATGATGAACACAGTTTCCATAATTATACTTTATTTATAGATAAAGGTCTGTGGCGCTGCATATAATGACTTTATCTTGCTGGAGTTTATAGCAGCTTCACTTTACTTCAGGACGCATTAATGCCGCGGTCTGCTCCGCAAGTCTATCAGAGACATAAATATTCCTAGCAAATCTAATAAATGCTGGAGACATACTCGCTACATAAACACACTAAATCACACTTCAGCTGTGTTTATTTGAGGGCGCGCAAGAAAATCCAACCCGGGCTCATTGTGGAAACGTAGTCCCGCGGATGTTTCTGGAGGCCGCGGAATAAGTCCCGGCGGGTACGTACGGCTGCTGTTTTTGTTTTTGTGAATCCGCGAGCCGCTGTTGTGCGCTTTTTCGCACCTTAGACGCCTCTCGCGAGTGCGGTTCGTGCCTGCGGTGTTCTCGCGTGAACCCGCCAGAGGCCGCTGTCCGACTGACCGGATGATTGACTGCGCGATCGGCCAATAGGCCGACCCGCCCTCCTCCTTCCCTGAACCCAACCAATTTTACTGATCGACCTGCCCGCCCGCTCACTTCCCTAAACCCGAGCAACAGTTTACAAAAGCCGTCCAAAAAAAGAAAAGCCCTGATTTTTTTTATATTTTTTTCCCGCGTTTTCGGAGTTCACCGCGTTCTCACCCTGTTACGAAACTCATTCACTTAATTTTTGGGATTCTGTTTTTGTCTTACCTGATTGCTGGAACCGCTCTTCCCCGGACTCGAAACCGGTCGCCGTGATCAACTCCTCTCTGCATCTCGAGCCTGCCGGCGTACACGGTGAGCTGAGTGGACAAACGGGTTGCAGCGGGAAAGCCCTCCACAAGGAGGTAAGCGGTCGGCCTGCAAGCGCGAAAGGGAACAGCGTCACACCGCCCGTAGCGTTCGCTTGAAAAAAATAAATGCTTTGAAATCGTTTGAAGAACGAAACGATCCTGGATCTTGTCAAATCGTCAATATCCAAATCCAGCTAATTGAGTAATCCACGTACGAAGAACGGACCCCAGTTTACAATGTAATCCACTCGCCTAATGTTTACGCTGCTAATAACCAATGTGGAACTCTGAATCTGCATCTCATTTCAGAGTCAGCTACTGTCCACCGAGGATCGCATTTCGGTCATGAACTCATGGTTTCAGAGCCTTTCTGAATAAATGAAATGCGCTGTTTTCCATCAAGGCAACCTGGAGTGCTAAAATATAACTGGCTAAACTGGCATTGGGCGGGTTAAATGACCAAAACAAAGACAGCCGTTCCGGCATGTAACGCACGTTTAAAGCAGAATATCTGACTTCAGCATTGTTTCCCAGATAAACAAGAATGTTCACTGAGCATGCTTTTCACACATGATGGTTTACATACTTCAGAAGAGTCAAACACTCACAAACAGCACCTTTAAAACAAATTTGCACCAAAAAACTAAATATTTAAATGGCAAACGTGTCACTTTCATTTTGTTTAATCAATAAAATAAATAAAAATATGCAAATTTAAAAACATGCATCACGATTTAAATAATAGTAGTAATACATACATAAAAATGTAAAGTATCAACAACAAAAAAACCTCAATATATATTTGTATTTGGTATACAAACAAACAAACAAACACTGACTTTTAGGCTCTGATTATTGATTTCGAGTTTGGCAGTTGTGCTTTATCAAGCTATTCATTCAAAAATTGTACTTTAGTATATGGTTGGGCGATGTTGACCAATTTGGCATTGTACGATGTCTAATGCGAAACATCGTGATGGACGATGGCATCGTCGTCGTAGGCGGTTAGTGGGGGTCGTTATTAAATATATATTAATTCATAAAGAATTAATTAATTGTAGCCTACCATTTTCACTACCTGACCCACATGACCCCATAACCAAACCATAAATAAATAAAGTTACACACAAATGACCACCTGTCAATCACTTTTTTTTTTCCACGGGACTCTGGCATGAATAGGCAGAGTGATCTGTCGTTATAATGGCTTTTCCCACAGCTATTGGAGGAGACGAGAGTTTGGTTGGAGTTCACTGTAATTTGTATTGTGATTGATGATAACTTCCTTATTTTATTATTATTATGAGTAAATAATAACAAGTAAAGATGCTAGGGCTCGACTGTTTTGGTCATGATATGAGTCCGAAATATTATCTATGCAACCTAAAAATATGTTCGGAAGCATTTGTGCTAGTGCATGCATTTTCACTGTTTTTACAGCAAAATCCTCACCGCGTGTGCCGATTTAGGAGACATTAATTCTGAATGCATCTCTGCACCTAAAAACACCAAACAGGAACAGATTAAAACCGTTTTATGTGAACTTCCTGAAGTAAAAAAGCCTGCAATGCTTGCCCCGCCTTTGTGCTCTTCTTATTGGCCCACTGCTCTAGAACTGAACGCGAATGATTGGTTAATATCAGCTGTCAATCACTCAGTCAACGCCTTCTGCCTTCAGATGACTGAGATACAACTGCGAAAATGTGAAGCGCTGAAGATGAGAGAATGACAATAACACTGACAGATTTACCTAAAGTTACTAATAATGGCACATCTTATTAGTGATCATGTGCTGAATGTTAATCACACTTTGCCATGAGTTGACAACAGACTTCCAGTGCTTCAAGTCCGCTATGAAAATGACTAAAGCTGTTCACTGTGAAGTCTGTGGGACGGGGTTTGCAGGTAACAGCGTTTGCCACTGAATCTACACATTGTAAGCGCGAGATGTGCTGGATAATCCTTCATTTAATCCTCACCATGCTGTCAGCCGTGCAAGCGGCAGCTATATGCTACATTTAACACCGCTCATGAAAAGACCGTTATTGCTATTAAGGTGACATGCAAATAATAAGTTCTATATCAATATAAATGTGGGGCGGGGTGATGGATCAACATGCCGGCTCAGCATCGTGAAGTTTGTCAGCTCATTGGTGATGGACGATGCCATTGTCTATCGGCCCAACCCTACTTTGGTATATAAAATAAATAAACTAAATAAAATAAAACTGCATCCGTAATGATGTAAACATCGTTTTAAGCGTGTAGGAAAGATGTTGGCTCGTGTTTAAGTGAGGTCAGTCTGTTGTGATGTTTTTGTCTCATTGTGGATCCTCCAGCAGATGATGTCATTTCCTGGCTGTGTGTAAAGCCGGGCTCACACTGTGAATTATTATAATTCATATTTATTATAATATAACATTTATTACATTTTCCGATTGTATTTTATTAATGTCTACCCCAACCCTAAACCCAACCATCACAGTAATGTGAAAACAGTAGCTGTACTGAGTATTATTTATGTTATTTTTTAAAGGGCACCTAGTTTACCCCTTTTTTAAGATTTAATATTAATATTATGGTTGTTCTGAGTGTGCCAGTTTAGGTTCAGTTCAACACACAGTTCTGGGGCCTCATGTATCAACGCTGCGTACGCACAAAAACTTTGCGTACGCCAGGTTTCACGCTCAGAATCGCTCACGTTTGGATTTACTATCAATGAACTGAACGTGGGAATGTGCGCAGCTTCACGGCAGCTTTCTGGCAGGCGTACGCACATTTCTTGTGTGTGTCTGTTTTATTTCCATTGGCGACTCCTAGAGGCAGTTGTGTTAAATTCCTCTCTACAAAGTGTCTGAGCCTTGCAATGGCAGCTGTATGAGACGGGTTCATCGATCTAGCAGGTATATAAGGTTTCCACAACATACAGTTGACCAGGCAAACATTAAAGCACAATTTGCAGCGGTCGCCTGTTTTCCTAATGTAATCTGAGCGATCTACTGCACACACATCGCTATAAAGACACTATCTGAAGATGAATTTGCATGCGAGAATCAGAAACATTTCCATTCAATAGATGTGCAAATAAAACATGATGCACAGACTTATTAATGATTCCTACTTGTCTTTCTTGTGATAAATAGTGGGCAAAATCTGATATATAGCGAGGAAAAAAAGAAGAAAGAGTTCATCAGACGCTGGATTCGAACCGAGTTCATGCTCGAGCATGTCAAAACATGTTGACATGCGTCTTACAAGCTGCACAAGTGCCCAGCTTGTACACCGAGACTAATAACCACACACTGAATTAACTTTGACTGAGGCACCGAATGCGCCGCGACACGGCACACCAGACACACTCAGTGACGCGGCAGAAACATGAAGTGTCCCGAATCGTCGCACTACGCATTCCAGAACTCCAAACACAAGCCTCCACCAGGGCAAACACAACGGCGCTGCTGACCTGCAGCTCCGCTGCGTGCACGCCGACAGAAACCCACAGCCAGAACTCCGAAATGCACGGCGCCATGCAAAAGGTACAACCAATAATTCAGATTAGAGCGATAATGTGAGGAATATTGATCTTGTGTTGAGCCCAATGAGCCTTACATATAAAAACAGAGCAAGGGTGTTCCTTTATGCCGAGTTCAGACTGCATGATTTTCAAAGTCGTCGTGTCACAGATGTTTCCACACTGCATGACTATCTGCGCTGGCGTTTCATCGCTGCTTTGTTTACACTGCAAGATGGATCGGCGACAGGGACTTTCACATTGCATGACTTTACTATAGGAAGAATCGCCGACAACTTCGTCCAAACTACGTCTCACAGCCAAAAACACGAAGTATATCTTTTGTTCTTAACTACATAATGAGAAAGAAGCCTTTAATGGGGTAGAAAATGTGCATGTTTGCTCACCTGGGTTTAAAGGGAATTAGCCATTTCTCCTCAACGTTGATAATAAACTAATTTCTTTCTGGATGAAACGTCAAACAGACACGGTCCTGCTCCTGAGTCCTGTCACACCTCCACTAGTTTTTCCCCAATTTCGTGGGTCCAAATAAACCGAAAAAGAGCACTTTTAACTCCTCCCCAGCCTCCCGCTGGCCTGCAGCAGGTATACACACACACATACACACACAAGTGAATGCTGCTCTCTCATTGGCTGTAGGCAATGGCTAATGTTATTTTCAGTCAAAACTCAATTCACACGGCATGATTTGAATCGCCGACAGCTCCAGATATTCAGCACGCCAAATATCTCGCAGGCGTCGGCGATTCATCGGCGATTCTCTCAGATCGCGTCTTTGATTGTTCACACTGTGTGATTGTCACTCACGTGCACGAGCAGCGATTTGCCTGTGATTTCAGGCATTTGTCGGCGATTTCTCAAAACCTGTCGGCGAGCCTAAATCAGGGCTAAAATCACGCAGTCTGAACTCGGCATTAGTGACATCGCTTTAACTCACACTGAAAATGGCGGACGTGAAACAACAAACTGAGTATATGATCGTGACGCGCGGCTGTCAATCAATATTGGTGGGCGGGGGGACCACTCTCCTACGTAAAGTTGCGGTCGATCTAAAAAAACCTGCTCCAATTGGTCCACCGTTTTTATGTTGTTAAATTGAAAAAAAAGGACTGTGTGTGTTTATATCAGCCCAATATGACGCTCTATACCAAGTGTGCCGCAAGCCTACGTTTGAGTGAAGGTTTCGGCCGTTAGATCGCCCCCTGGGGGCTGGCTGCAGTACAAGTCATAAAGCCCGCCTCCTCCGTGTTAATGAAGGAGACTTGAGCCCAAATAAAAAAAAATATTACACTTGCAATAAAATGTCCCGAAAGATGGTTCTGGTGGATTAAGGCACTGGTTATTGTGCTGAAATAGGTGCAGATCTTCATTTTTGTAAACAGTTTGTTTTTAGCAGTAATTTAATGCTGGGCGTGTCATCGTGATACACAGCTGTGATTGACAGTTTCTCAAAGCGCGGCGTCTGAGCTTCGGCAGGAGACTGAAGTAGACTGAAATGTTATTATTCGATTTCTGTGTTATTTTACCATGACAAAATGAGTTCAGCAGTAAACTATAGTTTCTGACATACATGATCCTGGTGGAACACTGTTTATTCGCTAAGTTCAGGGCTTTTTTCGGGCTTTATTAGTTTGCTGATACACGCCTAGCCACCCAGATAGCAAAACACAGTTCCGGCTAAATTCTCGCCTGCCGGAGACTCTTAGAGCTCAGACTGACTAATGTTACCTCTGCTGGACCTACTCCGGATGCCTGGACTCACTGCCCGATTCCAGTCCGAGTCAATCGAGCCTGATGCGGCGGCCGAGCGAGCAGGCGCTGCCGCATGCGAGCCGGAATCAGCCCGTGACGCCGCGAGTAAGTTACGATTGAATATATAAAACCCTCATATTTGTTAACGTTATTACATCCATTTGTGTTGATATGACAGCAAACGCATGCTGAGAAGTTCGGGGGGCGTAGTTGATTTTACATAAAGCGTTTGATTGGAAGCTCGACTCTGCTCATTTTCGCGGCTCCTCCTCTGGCTCCATCAGACAGTCCTTCTGCGCATGTCAAGGCTCCAATTTCAGCAGTCTTTTGCGACAGTTTGTGCCCGTCAAGCAGGCGTTTTGCCCTCAAGGCGTTCAATGGGAAAAAGGGCTGTCGCGTCGTCCATATTTTTTACAGTCAATGCTCTATACACTATACCAACACGCATGTCTGTCCAAACATCTTGGAAAGTAGATTTTTCACCATAGGTGCCCTTTAGATTACCCAATAAATTCTGATTTTTAACATCTACGCAACACTAAACCAACCCTTACAGTACTGTAAAAATACTAATTATCGTTATACAGTGTTATAAAAAATGCTGCTATATTGACGTGCATATCACACTTCCGGCCGGCCCTGTATCCCATCTAGATGTTACTCGACTTCTGCTACTGAGAAAACCAGAAATATTAAAGGGGATCCACAGGAATCCATGACTTAAATGGTGTCTGAAGTGGCACAGTGTGAGCCAGGCTTTAGTTGTGCAGATGCCCTGACTCTGAGCTCCTCTGAATGTTTATTTCACGCAGGAGCTGCTGGAAGGAAGCTGTGAGCTGGAGGTTTGTCCGTTCTGCTCCGGGAACGCTGTGGATATCTCTAGCTCACCTTGAGACGAGGACAGAAGACGGTTGTGCTGCGGCTCCAAATGCTCCTCGGCTCCGCTGAAGGCTTCAGTTTTGAGGTGTTTGGAGAAGTGTACGCTGAGGTTCTGCCGCGGGACGCTCTGCTGGACGGGACGCCGCAGGTATGATGAGAGGGTGGAGAGGCAGCTCTTCTTGAAGTTTTCGTTCATGAAGGCGTAGACGATGGGGTTGTTGAAGGAGTTGGAGAAACCGATGGCCTGCACCACTGCGATGATCATGTTCACCGTCACCTCATTGTATTTCTTCTCCAGGTCGTCTAAATGAAGAGTGAATGCAAAGAAATCAGCATTAGGGTACGGCTAGCTTTAAAGGAGATCTTTAATCTTAAAAAATGAACATTTACAGATTATTATCATTTTTATTTACATGTTATTTTCACAATTCATATATATATATATATATATATATATATATATATATATATACACACACACACACATATATATATATATGTGTGTGTGTGTATATATATATATATGTATGTATATATAAATATGTATATATATATATGTATATATATATATATATGTATATATAAATATGTGTATGTATATATATATATATATATATATATA